AAAACAAAAACAGATATCTGTATAAATGTCACTTTTACTGTCTAAAAGTAATTTTAAGTGTTAGTATGAAATGTCAGAAGAGTTGACAAAATATAACTATTTGTAAAAGTAATCTGAATTGTTACACTAACATACTCCAGGGACCAGGGTGGGAGGGAGCCATTGAAATTATTACTGATACAAAATGTGGCAGTGACAATCTCTTTTCTTTTTCTTTTTTTTTTTTTTTTTTTTTAATGGAGTACAATTAAGTACAATTACTTAAAGCTCCTTATTATTTTTTTTTAAGTAGACCTGTGTTCAGATTTACCAGAATAACATCAAAGTTTTAATCAATATTTTAAAATTTAGTAATCAAATGTCCCCTGGAGAGTTTTTTCCTGGTTTTGTTTGTTTATTTGCCTTTTTTGACTTCTAAGATTTTTTTTTTTGTGGTTGCAGAAATATTTACTATTCTGGTGATGCTAATGCCTAATGCGACAAAAATTAATTTATTCAGGTTTCAGTCTTGCAGGAAATTTTGTGTGGTTGAAGCCACCCCTCATGCTGCCATCAGTGGGGTGGATGTGAGTGGGAAGATGGATTTATTTTCATAGCAGAACTTGCAGGACTGGGCCTACTTTCTCTTCATAGATATTTACAATGTAGTTACACCATGACCATCATCCACAAAGGCTGTTCGACACCAGTCCTTGGAGCAGTAAATTCCAACTGCTGTCTTCAGCCTCTGCATTGATCTTCATCCAAAAAACAAAGTGGCTTTCTTTTTATGATGGTAATTACTTTGATTATTTATTTAAGTGCCAATCATCAAACTGTAGTATAATCATCATGCCATTTTTTTCTGTTTCCTAGACCAGATAATGGAAATGTATTTGTGCCTTTTGATAGCATGCCACTCTGCTTTATTAAAGGAAAATCTTCAATAATTTGTCTACAAAGCCTGTTTAAAATAATTGAAAGCTTTACYGTGACATACTTTTCTGCTCAAAGATTCTCAAATACTCATGTAAATTAAACTGGAGATATTATTTTCAAGTCACGTGAATATTTGAAACACAAAATCTGCAAAAGTCAATTGAGATCACGATTCCAATGAGGGTCATGGTGGGTGTATTACTGCTGGAAAGTTCCAAATAGATGGAGCACGTGGTSAATGTGTAGGGGTGTTTTGACCAATTTCTCAAGTTGAAGAGTCAGATAGAAATTCTCCTTAGTTCTATTTAAGTGCTTAGACCTGAAACATTAAAATCTTTTCTCAAATCTGAACGAGGATGTGGAGCATCTTCCCATCATTTTACCTCTGGAGTAAAACCRGAGTGAATATTCATTTCACAGTCATTTGCAGCCTCACCATTGCTCTGTAAGCTGGTGTAGGAGGTAACATTTTTGTAGAATAGTTGTCTCTGTTGGATGATATTCACTCCTGATTAAAGGACCTCCAAAAAGACCATTTACTGAGAAAACTCAAGATCTCTTACAAATTAGCTATGGAGGGATGCTGAGGGTGCTGCATAAAGAGCCACAGTGGAATCCAGGCTTCACTGGGCTTTACAACACAAACTGACTCCAGCAGGACCTGGATTTCAYTGCTCCTTCTCAGCGAGGCTCTGCACGTCCTCAGCTGATCAAGTTGCTTTTGTGAATCAGATTTCTGGGTGTAAGTGGAGCTTACATGTCCTGCCAGGCTCCTGCTGACATTTTGCACAGAGGAGGGTTTTCTGTCAGGAGTTTTCACTGATCAGGAAATGGTGATAGAATATCTGATGACAGTTTTATCCCATACATTACTATATGCTGAGATATAAAACATCTCTTTAAATAATTCATTGTGATTGCGATACTTCTTTAGGGGAAGATGAAAATAATCTAAGTAAATAATGCCTTTTCTTAAATCCCCTTGTTTAGCTTCAGATAATTTTTCTGATAGATGCAAAGCTAGCATGGTTAAATGAATCTTTTTAGAAAACAATCCACCCCTTTTTCAGATTTCTTAATATGAGT